GTGTGAAATTGGTTGGACTGCGAAGAGGGAAAGTTGGTTTTTGATAGCTTTGAATCTATAGCCCACAGCTATAGCTCACTGTTTCCGCCACCTTAAGTTAGGAAAACATTTGGGAAAGTGTTTTTACTGAAAAATTACTCGAAGCGCTTGTATTATATGCATTGCATACATTCAATCGATATTTATTGTTTCTTCAATTTGAACGGAATTGAGACATTTCTTATTTCGAATTATGACAAAAGTTTGGATATGATGCGCGCTGTCATTGGTTGAAAGAGCGTTCTCTATGAGAGTATAGAGCATAGAGCTGAGGTAAAGCTCTCAAACCATCTGCCAAATTGTACAATGTCCTATCTTTTCCGGGACTTCTCTCTAGCTTCTTTTCGATAATTGAAAGTGAAATTTCGGAACAAGCGAGCCGGCACGTAGTAACAGAAGAACCAAACCAAGCTTTGTTAACATGCCAGGCGCCGTAAATTACGTCATTAAAACGTGAACAGAGACGAAAATCCTCAGAGAAAACAAAATAGGCAGTCCGAGTTTTAAAGGTTTTCAATCTCAGTTAGATTGTAAGCTTATATACGGTAATAGAAATCAAGCACAGCGAACACTCCTATGGTATATAAAGTTTTGTCAGTCAAAAACAAAACACAACAAAACATGAATGATGAAAAATATAACCAAACTGGCCTCACTGTTAAAATTCATACTAATCATGACGGTGCCAGAGCGACTGAGATCATGCTGAGGTCCATCGCGGCTGGCTCATAATGGCGATCTCCGGTCATCGCAGTGAAGCAAGCCTCAGAAACTACATCAACCCCTCATCGAGTGAACAACTTAGAACTTGCCCTAATATCCTTTCCGATGCGTTGAGTGGAAGACCACGTCAGTCACTGCTGCCTAGTTTTACGGCGCTGTCATCTCGAGTGATCTTCATGTTTCAGTGAATTCGGCCGTCGTTCATTCATAAAACACTCGCCTTGAACTGTTTGTTTTCTACCTTGTCATGTGAAAAAACTCGCGTGTTTTTATGAGCCATAATTCAGCTGAAGTTTACCGAACATTTCACTTTCATACTCTGTTTTAGATACTAAAAACCTTCAGGCAATAGTGTTAAACTCGACCTGCCGAACCATTTAAGTTTTTAAACTATCGCAGAGTGTGAACTTTGATGGTTTGATATTTTTGTACAGCCAATAAGATTATTTGAACCATTCTAAAAGGGATTCTGATTGGCTTATTGTAGCGTGTTTTATGAGAGTTTATAAAATGTTCAGAGAACTTCGCGCGCCGTGATTGATCAGAACGAGTTCATACTACTATTTCGTATAGTTATGGGGCTACGCTCTGCGAGCTCCGTTATTATTTCTTCAAAGCACGCGCCTTACGTCACACGGGTGCGCGGTTGAGATATAAAGCACGCAGCCTGTGTCATAGGTACGTACGTGCGCACTTCACAATACATTTTATACACGATATAATAAACTTCTTACCCGAGCATTGTTGAGTTATACAAGCAATTCGTACTTCTTCCGTGTTCTTGAAAACTCCCTCGTGTTTATATAACTCAACAATGCACTCAACGTGTCTTTTATTTCTTTAATAGAGCACTGTTATTCGCTTTGGAAAAAAAGTTTGTTTAGAAAATTGAAGGTAATATTTGGGGAATCTAACGGATTCTTTATTTTTACATTTACATAAATATTTCTAAATATGAACATTTTACATATAAAATCAATAGAACTTATTCACATCCTGTCTTTTGACATAAATAACAGTGATAGTAAAGCAAGCTTAAAACAGCAGAAATCGCAAGAAACTACAACGGACACACAGGATGTGAGTAAGTTTTATTGATTTCAAGTGTAAAATACTTATATTTCGAAATATTTATCTTTGTAAATCGACCATATTTCGTTCCCCATAATATTCCTTATATCGTGTTCAAATTTTCAACGGTTCCTCTCGTAACTTAACACCGATTCACACTACGCGTGACGCGTTCATGAATTAATCGTTGGCTTTTTCTCGAGACGTGAGCTTGGGCTGCCTGTGATTTAACGCGACCTACTCTTTCGATGCTGTTGGTATCCGATCTTTTTGCATCACTCTATATTTCTTAGCCGGTAAACCGATAACACATTTATTGTCTGTCTCAGACCGATTATGTAAAGTTGTTATTTCTTGTTACTAATCTCAAAGAATTTCTTTCTGGTGAACTTCCAACATTCATTTACTAAGTCATTTCCAGTAACCCTCTGTCACCCTAACATCAGTATGTGAGTTCTCCAAACTGTTCCCTATACATTTCCTGACGTACTGACAAGGAGAATTTGTTTAACAATAAAGAGTTTATTGAATTTGCTATCTTTCTCTTAATTCTCCTGACCTTCCTGTTTGATCCAGAGACGATATTGTTGTGAGAAATTAGATGCTCATCACTGTGTAAAGAGTTTTGGTGGCTTTTCTCTTAAACAAGACAAGCAAGTGTCTTTTATCGCAGAAAAATTGTACACCTTTTTAAGAATTACTGTTTCCGCGGCACAAATTAAGCCTTACATCAATATGGATATATACTACAAACCCTTCTCGACCTTTTTTATATGGCATGGACAAAAGAGATTTTGTTTGTCAAAGAAACATCATCATTTGTCCCTCTCTGTTTAAAAAACTTACCAGACAAAGTAATGTTTTATACCCAAATGAAGCTAAAAAAGATCAGACTAGCACTGAGAAAAAAAGAGTGTTTCCGTAAAACTACAAATTTGAAAGTATTTTGTCATTGTTATGTCTGGTGGACCTTTGTTGGTCCCACATGACTTGTTTTGGCTAACAGTTTTTTTTTTAGCGTAAATCTGTAGTCTTTTGTAATTTTGTCTGATACGTAACAAAAATTGGCTATCACACTTCTCTTATACCCAGAAATTTTTTTCTATTGCTCAATGCAAGGTCGATCGTGTTTGGCATCTCAGGGAATAGATACATAGTCAGTTTGTTCCACTGCCAGAAACCTTTGTATAATTAGAAATTATTCGTCTCATCACCCTAAAACACCGTATACATTACTAGTATTTTCATGTTTCCGTATATGACAAAATTATCAATAATATATGAAGTGTTTTGAATACGTTACATCACTTTAACTATTTTTTTTCCATGGCACTCAATTTTCTCACATGATGAGGTTTCCCATAATATTGTATCAGGTTTTTGGTAGCTTTTCATAATGTACCGTCTCCTTCAAAAATAGTTCAAGTCACACCTCAGAAGAATTGTTCACATCATCAAAATGTGAAAACCCTTGTAAAGGAAAACGTCACAACTCATACAATATGCACTTGTAGGGGTATAAATTAGCGATCATGCAAAAAAAAATTACAAAATTCTGCACTCAGGGTTTCCTATTTCTGGGGGTCTATAATTTTATCGTGTAAATGATAAATGTTATAGGCGGAGGAAACTCCTCACCTGGTCACTGCACGAATTCGCTAGAGAGATGATATCTTAATGCATATTTTATAAATCATGACCCTTTTAGAAAGCAGAGAACAATTTCCTCTCTTTTTTTAAAACTTGCTAATGACGATGGGTGAAACAACTCAATACAATATAGGTGCGTTTTTTTTTTTTAATCTATCTAAGAGACAAAAAAGTTATTTGACATTGCCCAAGTGGTTTATAGCCAAGGTTATATTCACAGACAGTGGGTTTGGCAGCGGAATGTGACAGAAGTTTACGACCAGAAACGTTAGCATCGTGTCGTTTCTTACAGCACATGAAATCCTGAGCAGTTAACTTAAAAAAAAACAGCTTAATAGTTGAGTCACTACATATAAGACAAATGATAAGACAGATAAGGAATTAGCATCACTTCAGATTCTAACTCATTCGATAGTAGCTATAGAAGGCTTATTAAAAGGTTCTTCATATTCAAGTCCAACTGTTTTCGTGAAAATTCGATTGAGAACTTTTTCCGCATTTGTGAATTTGTAATATTGCGGTCAACTAAATACATTTACAGAATAACACCTGAACACATTTCATGGGTATTGTAAAACACAGTAAATTGCATCTCTTCAAGACCTTTTTGTCATGGGAATAAAATGAACACAATGAGTAACTTAGCTAAAATTGACTTGAAAAAATCTTTTTACCTTCCATTACGAGATTAGAATCTGTTCCTAAATAAAATATGTTGGTAAGAAATTTAAAAGAATCTAGTTTTCGAACTTGGGTAACGGAGACGGACAGAAATGAATACAAAAGGCGCATCTGTAGTTACTAAAACATTGTCAAGTACACACAAGCTTGTTTTTGTACAGTAATGCTTCTAAGGTTCTAGAACCATGGTTTACAAGCATGAAAATTAATTTAAAAAGCTGCCGGACTATTTATCAATAATTCTACCAGAACTTGACACGACATCAAAGGAAACATCGGCACGCAAAGAGATTGAGTGGCATAGAAAAGATATGAAAGAGATTTAAAATATTAAAAACATTTTATATATCAATAAGGGAATCAATAGCACAGAAGTGCGAAAAGATCGTGTTAGAAAATTTAAACATGTACGGAACCATGAAAATCCTGGTTTTTTTTAAATATTTCAACGAGTTACTTTACAGATTCGCATTTAATTGTGCTAGGGCTCTTAGCACAGAAGCAAACTGACTGCGTCTTTCATCATAGAGACCCCAAACGTGATAGAACTTGCTCAGATATGATATGATAAAATGACAACAATTCAAAGATAAAAAAACACAATTCAAAAGACTGCAAATTTACTTTACAATACGATAGATAACCAAAACAAGTCATTAGAGACACAAAAGAAATCCCCTAAACAGTTTTGAACAAAGTACATTCAGATTTGTGGTTTGTCGAAATCACTTCTTTCTCTGAGCAATTCTTTGTTTGCTCGAAGTACAAGACTCTCTTTTGTCTTGTAAGTTTTTAAAGAAAGGGGGACAAACGATGTGAAAATCATTTAAACTTGTGTGTTCCACCCCAACGACTAGAATGGAACCGTATAAGATTTTTATAGTCTTCTTGCTTATTGCGACCAGCTGCCATATCAACGACGCCCAATGTTCGTTTGGATGGGGAGGAGTGTTTCACTGCAAGCGGGAGGTTTGTTACGTAAATAATTTAAAAGAAGTTCTGAGATTTAAAAGCCAATGTAATATCACCTTTTTTTAAGAAATCACTGAATTTATCTTCATCACCTTACTGACTTTAATTTCCGCCCATTAACGACCAAATCGGAATGTCCAAATGTTTTCTTTATCAAAACCATCTTTTTCCGTTCACTTTCTAAAGAATTTTACGCGTACACGAATAAATTAGTGAAAAGAAGTTAAGAAACTTTCATATTAACAGCAGCGAAAAATTTATTCAGTTCGTTATTACTTGAGGCTCAGGGAGAAAAATTGGTGTTTAAAATGTTCTTAAAAATTTTAAAAACCCTGGTTGAAAAGGAAATTTACAAATTGGCCCCACTAAAATTAGAAGGCATCAGAAATCATTTGGCGGTTTAGTTGAAGCTCTCTGTAGATTTACTAGGGTATTTGATAACAAGAATTGAATTTACAAAATCTGTTGAATCAAAATCCAGAATGTGAGGAAATCACTACACACTTAGGAAGCTTTTTTCTTATTAAACAAATTCTCCTTTCCAATACCAAAGAAAAACTAATAGAAAAAGTAGAGAGAGAATATGACATTGACGCTGGGTTGTAAAAAGTGGAAAGGGGTATAGGCACGAGCGATTGTTATAACCAGAGAACCAAATTTATGCCTTGGTAGCAATATATATATATAAATCTGTACAACTTTTCAGCGAAAAACAAACACACTTACCAGCTATGATTAAGGGAACAGAAATTCGAATTTATCAAAATAATAAAAACTGAAACTTCTGTGATGGTTTCTCGGTACAAATGACAACGTTTATATTAAAGAGAGTTTTTTTGAAAAGAAACTGTAAGAGAAATGACTGAGTATGGTAACTGGCTCTCAGGAATTCATTGCAAATAGTTTTTGAAGGTTCGTAGCACGAATAAAGGAAAAATAACAAGATCTTTACTCGTCTTTTCACGAGCGTTCTGACTACCTATGAATAACGCTCTACCACTGGGCCACGTTGAAAAACGTTCTTCCTAAATTTACATTTACAAGAAAAATGCAACTTTAAATCATCGGATCGAAAAAGCCTAAGACTCTGGCCTGTGATGGGTTAAGATAGAAAAAAATATATTCAAATATTGGTAGATTCATTTATGTCGACTTTAAAAAAACGTTGCAATTTTAAGATATATTAAACATAAACACCTCTCCTTTACTAATCATAAAGGTGATGCACGATGCATGTATATTTCACATCGAAAGAACAATACGTTTTTTGTTATTGTGCGAAGATGAAACAAATACTTTGGAAATTTTGACACCAGTTATTGTTCTTTTCTTTTTTGCCTATAATTCATTCTGTCAACACCTTTTCAAAAGGAAAACAAACGTACATATATTTAATTCATATTTTTAATTTCAACGTTCTCGAAAATGGGTGTGTGTATGTATATATATATATATATATATGTTGACCAGTTTTCAAAAACGAAGCAAATTTGAAAATATATATATCAAATATAAATAGCCTTTCTTTTCTCGACGATGAAAGGAAAGATAAATATATATATTTAATGTAAATTTTTAAGTATATATATATATATATGTATGTATATATGTATGTGTATATGTATGTATATATGTATATTTAATTTTACCAGCTTCGAATTCTCTGCTTCTAGAATTTAATCCAAATTTAAACTTTATGCAACTTTAAATCTTCGGACTAAAACGGCCTAACGTTTTCTAATATACAAATATTAGAAAACTCATATACATGTGAAAGTTTAGCAGCTTCTCTGCTCAATCTTTTTTTCTATTTGCGTGTCCTTCATTCTCTATTTTGTACTGTAAACTTAATTCAATTCAATTAATCGTATTCTAAAAAATATCTTATTGATGTTGGTAACGTAGTAAAAGGGGTCCATGGTAAGTAAAGTTTTATAACTAGGTTGTAAACTATCTTTTATTGACGAAATTTAAACTTGTGATGACAAAATGTTTTCAAAAAGAATATGATAGATCACAAAAGAAAACAGAAACAGCCGATGCATTTTTTATTGAATTTTAAAGAAATAGAACTAGCTGGTGAATGCGTGTTTACTTTACATTGCAGAGTGATGCCAAAAAAATATCTGATAACAGAAGTTTCAAAACACGTGGTGAATCAGACAAGGGTCAAACTGCAAGGAAGTCGATCGGAAACAAGATTTTTCTCAAGAGAACGCGGGGAAAAAATGGATACAAGGAAGATTTTAAACACTTGTTCGCTTAGTTCTTAATAAGTGTCATAACTTGGACGTCGTAAGATACGTTGATGCGGCTGATGAAAAATCGAAACCAGGATACCAACGCGACAATCATCTTCAAATTCATGAAAGCACCGTAAATTAAATGTGTTTTGCTTTGTTGACACAACTTAACTCGTGAACTTCTTAAACTCAGGTATTAAATGGCTCTCATGCAATGACAAATAGAAATAAGGGAAAGGAATTATTTTGACAGTATTAAAGGGCCTGTAATATAACTAAGGGTTGAAATGAATAAACTAGACAAAAGTTTGTCGTCATTTTCAGTTCAACTTAAATCGGCCATTATTCAAGACTATTTGATATTTTTAAGACCTTCAAAAAAAACCTCATTGCCCCCCTCCCCCTACCAAAGAATTTGTTTGATTTCAATTTGCATTTCTTCGCTGGTTTAACTTACTTGGTGACAATCTCAAAAACGCATAGGCAAACTTTGTTCGTGCTTACATTTTCTAAGGTACCATTAGTATGAAGAATTTAGTTCAACTCCAGCCCACTTAAAAACAATCATACGTTGTTTTGTATCCAACTAGTTACGTCAACTTCGTTCTGAAATGTCGACATTTGTCCACAAAGTAAGTCCTCGTAGAAACATAAATTGTTAGCACTGATTTCCGCGAAGAAACATTCATGGTCGTTAGTTTAGGTATCTCCGTTGAGAATAGTTGAATCTAAATCTGGGGCTCTGCATATTTAAGACATGAAGAGGTTTAAAGAGCTCATTACGTCTCAGCCTGATAGATATGGGTCGCATCGACCGAGCAATTTAAGTAACACCATCTATATTAGCGTTTCTCAGCGGGTAAAGGATAACAAGTATATAGAACTTAAGGGAAGATACGTGAGGAAAGTGAGAATTTGGACGGGGACAGGTTATTTCCCCTTTAAAATCTGTTTGCAAGTAAGGATGGAAGAGGGGTGTGGGTTATGAATATATTTAGAGACAGAGACCCTTGGGAACGAGTTGTCAAGAAATGTCAGCTTGCACTTGTCAGATAGAAAACTGAATTGTACTTCGTCCCATTCAGTTAATTTTGATAATATTTACGGCTTATTCCAGAAAACTTTTGGAAAACATGGTAGCCTACAGAACAAGCGTCCTATTTTTCTTCCTTTTTTCTTTTGTCGCGTTTTCAACTAGGCCAGATAAGTGCGAGGCACGCACGAGAGGAGCACGAATTGAGATTCCTCCTCTCGCACCCGCCTACATGGTATCCGGCTGCTTCAACAGTCCTCACCGGGTCATAAACGTGGAGAAGTCGGTCCAGATTATAATTTAAGCTGCAGGAATATTAGATTCGGCCTTAAGAATTAACAGTAATCACGTTCATTCTCACTTTTAACATCACGGCTTTGTTAGATATTCAACAAAGACTCAAAGGAGACTATTGTTACCGTTACTTGGAAAAAAAATAACTTTTCAATCGGAGCTAAAGGCAATGGAAACAATATTGAAACAAATGGGTTATACCGAGTAAAGTTTGAGATGTTATTTCAGTACAAAATCTATGGTCCTCAAACATATTAATAAACAAGTAAATTACGAGAACACAACACCATTCTTGCTTCATACACGATGCGTAACAGTCGAAAACAGGCATGCTATTCACGATAAACTTTAGTATAAAATACTTAAGCCAAGCAAGCTCATTTACCCATTTTTAATAGCTCCTTGACGGTGTTTGCTTTTATCAGATGAAACGCGTACGAGGTAAAAACAAATATTTGCTTTCTTAATTAGTTCGTACAGTGCTGCATATTATAGCTAGTTTATCATTAAAAGTATGAAAAGAGTGTTCAGTTTCGATGAAAATAACTGACTTATAGCGGATGAAAAATCATTTCAACCTTCCTTCTCCTACTTTAATCACAAAAGCATCTTGATTAAGTTGAAAACTCTTTCTTATCGACCTTGTTACTTAATGGATGTCGCCATCAAAGGCTTCTCAGTTAAGCTTAATTGCTTTCGAGAGCGTTTCTCAAACAATTTATGTGTTTTTTTTTTAACTCTACTGCGAGCGAGTCCATCTATTTTTATAGTGTTTTGACTCAGGAATTGATTTCAATTGAGGCATTCTTGTTTACGACAGGAGTTCTGGAATTAAAGAAAACTATTACCCATTTTGAACCGCAAAAAATTGGGAAAACAAACAACAACGATTGTCTTGGTGTGAGTCTTTAACAAAAATAGTGCTGGCCGTAGGAGAGTGTATTAAAATATGAAAATACATCTAACACGTTTTTGAACATGGACGGTTCAGAAAATGAAATATTGTAGGAAATAAACGCTTAGGAAAAATTATTTGCTTTTTTACGTGACCATTCTGGAAATATTGACAATATTTGAAAAGGTTTTAATCATTACGCTGAGTAGGTGGCCAAACACTTTGTCCCGTTATGTGATTGTGGTCTCTCTTAGCCATACAATTGAACTGAGTGCAACAAATCACCCTGAATAAGATACAGGATAAAAAACTCGTACCGATATCCAAGATGATTATTCCTGAAAGCCTGCAAATTATTAAACATAATTATGAACCTTTACTAAAAAGACCGACGGTGTTTAAAAGCTTCTATTTTTAAGAGAGAGAAAGATTACGGATCGTATCTTGCCCTCACAACGCCATGCTGGGTCATAAAACTGAGAAAATATTTAGCCGCGTTTGGCAATTATTATTAATAATTAATTTATGATGACTTCTATGGGGTTATAAAGAGACAGCAAAAGATGCGACTCTTTCATATTTCAAGCTGTTCGTGGTAGAATGTCCAAGATGAACTCCTTGGTCTCTTTGGTGGTTCTCTCTCTCGCTCTGTGTGTCGTTGCTGGCTCGAAACTAAAATGTACTCCTTACGGCCTCGCACTTGGTTGTCATCCGGTAGGTCTAGCCCGTTACACGTTAATATGGATTCCATACAGAGCTAAGTACAATCGCTTATCTATACATAAATCATTTTTGACACAAACACTAAAACTGCAACGGTCTTCTATGCCAGCAGCCTCTATTAAGTCATGTAAATTTATCATCCACACGTTGAAAAATGTAACTCTAATCAAATTTTTTTGTAAATCATATGAAGAAAAGGGCAGAAGAAATCGGAATAAATCTGTTCAATGTATTTAATGGGAAGATCATTTCATCAGTTTTTAGTGAAAATTTTTGTTTGAACCTTTTTTTTCAAAATCACCGGTGACGATTTGATTTTTTGCTGATCTTACGTAAATATCGATACAGCAAAAGACACCCAAGGGGCGAGTATAAGTCAGGGTACTTTCCTACTAGAAAAAACAGCATGAGTTTAATAAAAATAACGCAAATGTTCTGAATACATCGTTCTAATCACTGCTAAATAAGAAATACTCTTAAATGCTCTTATCTTTACCGAGGTACTGCATCCCGAGGATCTGCATCCTCACTAAGCTTCTACGTATAGAAATCTACACCTGCATTGCGGTCTTAGCGAGATCATGAATGACGTAAAGGAAACATATCATGAAATATTCATGGTCGTCATCTTAAGATGAAGTTAATTTGTATACCAAATTTTACCTTTATTATTCTTGTTAAATACGGTAATCTAAATGTCTAGTTTTGTCTAAAGCTCAGAAGCACATGTGATTTCAAGATTCATAATCAGTTTTAGCGATCTCCAGGAAACCTCAATTCTATGGAGATGTTCGAGACCAGAAATAAATTCAACGATTCATCATGAGAACTGTATGGTGTTACTCTTGCCTTGCATGGGACGAGAATACGTTGTCATAACAACGGCCTAACTTACACCTTTCAGTATTGTCTAATTGTATGATCGCTTTTAATTTCTTCTCCAGAACTAATCTTTCATCTGTTTATTATCATTAAGCAGAACGGTGGCCGCTCATTAGATCGTAATGAGTTCCGAGGACATCTGGATGTAATTCCAGATTCACGTCCTATAGGAGACTCAGAGGAAAGCACCGCCAAACGAACAGGAATGGACGCTGAAAAATCAAAAAACCGATTGGAGGAGATGAAAGCTTACTTGGACAGCTTATATCAGTAAACCGGAGAGCATAACAGGACATTTTAATAGTAGACATGGTAGAAGAATGTAATCTCAATATTAGTTGTAAATCGGCGGCAAATATAGATGATAGTTGATATGATGAAATATACTGGTATGAATAAAATATGATGCAGTAATAAAAGGTGTGTCATTATGTACAATTTCCAAAGCTTGAAGAAGGACTATTTATAGCTGTTCATTCTTCGCAGCTGGATGGTGAAAATAATTCTTTAGACACGAGCCTGATTTTCGTCCTTGTTTATCCAGGCTATGATGAAGTGTTCTTCAATTAGGACAAGTGATAGTAAAGTTTGGTCGTTAGTCTCAACAAGAAAGCATTTAAATCAAACATATTTAGCTTGATCCTCGAAATTTTGAGAAATAAGGAGAAAATTTTTCGACAATTCACTTCAGTGTTTATATTTCATTTTGTTAATTACTTTGAGAAAACATCACTAATCGCAATTTCATTATGGAATTTTTTCCTCTCTCTATAAAGTAAAAAGTCCATTCCTTTAAACTCTTATAACGTTCCACATATTTTCATAGATGAGTTTGTTGAGGCTTTACAAGAGCGTTGTGGTCATTTGTTAAAGAATTTAGTGTCTGGCCTGTTCATTCTTACCGATACTGAAATGTATTTTTTTGGGGGGTAAAATCCGTGTTTTTTGAGTCAATAATTCAGTATTGCCAAACCTCCATTTTATTTGTTGATTATGAAAACTTTCACTTTCGAGAAAATTTGGAAAATATCGCTTTTGTTCCGGAATCCAACTTTCCGCATCATGCCGTATATTCAGTGTAACAAAATTCACAGAAATCCAATCAACAAAACAATTCATCGAAAAAGCTGGTATTTTTTCAAAAATTAACGATGTGGTTTAGGCAATAGCTGTTCAATCCATCACTGATATAAGCCTCATCTTACTGGAAATCAAACAGATCTCAATGGAAGATCTCTCTCGAAAACACGAACAAGGATTTCTTCAACTATCTTGAATAGGTTACTTCAAAAAAACGAAGATAGAAATGCAGTTATCACTATCGAACTGATAGACTACATTTACAAAGAGAAAGTAATTCTTTTAGTCGCAAGATATCAACCGATATTGAAATCAGCAGAACTACATAAATCCATGAGATATTTAAGCAACAGACAGCACTCTCTATCAATCAGTTTATAGGCATAATAACTTCGCTGGTTGTTGGGAGAACATTCCAGAAGTTTATAAATCACAAGCCGGAGGTGAGTGATGCTCAAAGCTGTCTAGTGTTTTCCCAACATTACACCAGAATAATGAGAGGTAGCGTGGTCTGTTGCTTCTATAAAACAGACTTCATTTTTTGCGGGTTAACCGGTACAAAAAAAAGATAGGATTTGAAACAAACAGAGCGGTCGTGGTATCTCGAACCCAGTTATTTTGAACCGTGACCGTGCTTTTAAAATATCTCCACAGTATGAATACCCTTTCAAAAAATGCTTTCACAGCACAAAACCCTTTTTGTAAAGCGTCCAGAATTTACGCTTAAGCAAAGTGATAATTGTGATTTTTCATGCAGACCAAATAAATGCATTGTAGGCCACTGATGCGTTAAATAAACTCGTAGATGTTTCAAAGTATCATCTTATGAAATATTAAACTTCCATCTCGTTTATCGTGGCTTGTTTTCAGAAAAAGCGTCGGGATAAACGTTAAGATTATATTTAGAAATTTTAGACAGTAGATCTCATTACACGCTATACAAGTAACAATTTGGCTCGAAACTGTTTGCTGACGCGATTAAAAGAGAACTTTGATAAACATTTAAATATGTTAAAACCAATTTTTATAGTAATGGTGTTAGGATGCGCGTGCTTCAAGCGCGCTGTGAGTCCCGCTGAAACTAACTTGCAGCTGATAGCCTTAGCAACCTGGCCGTTATGTCAGAGTTCCTGCCTCCCCTTGCAATGTGATCGGTAGAATTTTCTATGTTATACAGGTCATCTATTGTCAATTAAGCCGTTGTTAAAAAAACAAAAACTAGATTACCATCTTTTTAGTATGTTTAAGCGAAAAAAGGATCGAAATTTGGAAAAATTTCACAACGAGAAAGTTTTGTTCATCGTGTCTATAAATGTGCCAATTTTTCTTCTAGAAGCTCATATCACCTGACAAAAATTGCAATCCTCTTTCCTTTTTTATCCATTTTTATGTTTTATATATACTCTCGTTTTCAAAAACGTTGCAATTTGAAAAAAATATATGAAATTAATACACCTTTCGTTTTTTAATCAAATTTTCTAATGCACCTTTCGTTTTTTAATCAAAAGGTGTTTCTTTCTGATGAGAAAACAAAACACAGATATATGGTATATTTTCCAATTGCAAAATTTTAGAAAACGGGTGTGTATATATATATATATATCTATGTATGTATATTTAGATTCCTTTCGAAGTTTTATTCAGACAATAAATGCTTACTTTTATTTCTTTGCTACCTCATCCTACTTCAAGTTTTACGTTAATACTACTGACACACAAGTGGCGGCTAACGAAGACTATTTATAAACCCACGCTCGTTTAAAGCATATACCAGGTTTAGCACCTTTTAACAATTTAGCACCACACAACTAAAGCAAATTGACACAACATCAGCACAATAAAGTACCTCCACAAGGTCTTACAGCAAGCAGAAACCAGATCAAAGTTTTTCTTCTCGTACGAATAAGGGTCATTTTGGCGTTTCGTTCTAAGAGAAGAAACAAATCGAAAGCAAGACATAATCTCTGTCCATACATCCTACCCAATATTGATAGGAGCGTAACAAAAGATCTAGAGGGGAGTAGTTTCCTGATCCCGTTTCACGCACGAATTAAAGAAAAAATCACGCGTCATATATATTAAAGGCAAAAATTCGAATCGCTCCTCTTGTATGCAAGATTTCAGGTAAATCTTGAGGTTTTCACTAAACGAAAAAAAAATCACGGGTCACGTACATTTCAGGAGGCAAATCACGCTTCACGCTGGTTCATAAATATACGGATCACGCTCGTTTTTCAGTAAATTACACGCGTCACATATTAATTTTGGCTTTAATCAGGCATCACGAATAAACCCTCCGTCGCCCTCTGATAGTTTGAAGCTTTTTTTAACTTTTTCGAAAATTATAAAAGGGAAAGGAAGTCAAAGCACCCATGCTGCGATTTTCATGTTCAAAACGATATAGACGATAATCAAGATTTTAATTATGAAAGGCCCCGATGAAAAATAATTTTGAGCCGTTTTGACAATTATAGAGGTATAGATGTGTGATTGAGGAATCTTAAATTCTCCACTCTCTCGATCGCGGTTAAAATTCAACAATTTTCGTATTTAAAGTTAATAGGAACTATTTAGGACAGCAGCGCCACGGAAAGTGTGGCTTTAGATGAATATGAATTTTTAGCTAGAATTTTTCGAAGGGCTGGATTACCGTCTGTTACGACGCCACGACTCGACTTCAGCGTAACGTATGTAAGCGGCGTTGAGTTCCAAATGGAAACTCAAATAGACACAAAAATTTTGATGTTTTCACGTTGTTGATTTGCAGAGGACGGCTCTGAAATGTGAAAAGTTTCAAAACGCACGTGCTGAGCTACTGCTCTGCCCAATAGATGTTTTGTTTTTCTTTGTTTCATTTCCTCGTTGCCGTCGCCGTCGTGGCTGGCTTGGCTTAAGATCCGACAATTGTGTCATCATGCCTTTAAGTCGGGGATTTTCTTTCGATGAAAGATCATTGACTATCTAAGTTATCGCAAAGTTTAAAACTGATGATTGTGATGTTTTAATTCGTTTACTAATCAGTTGGCGTAGCTGTAAATCAGATTCTAATCATAAAATGACAACACTTATTAATCAAAGCTAAAAAGGACAATTTTCCTACTCCTGATAACGGTGTGTTCATTAAATGTTTAAGAAGAGTTTTCATAAAAAATAGGTCCATGCTCTGTATGGTTGGAATATTCGAGAATTTGATCATTTTTAATCAATATCTCAGAATTACTCGCCGGCACCTTCCATCAAGATAACTTCTAGATTGACAGTTTCTCGTTGCTAGAAAGTGTTCTTAGCAGGGGGTATTTCATAGTATTTAACAATAAATTAAGCGTCGCCCGTTTGATTAATAACGATGTCTGTATTGAGTGGGAGGTATAAAAGTGGATGTTAAATCTCAGCATTCAAAGGATAGGAGGCTTTTGCACGGAGATGTTGAAAATGAACCTTGTTCGATCTGCTGCTCTTGTAGCCATGCTGCTATCTGTGGTCGAAGGACAGATTTGTAAATGGGGGGCACCATTCGGCTGTCCTAATAGAGATAAGGTTTGTGCATAAAATATAACATGCATGTAAATCTAAGTTTTTGCTTAACAATTCTCACATTCAAGACGACAGGGTTGCTCCAAGGCAATCAAACGAATTCGAAGAGAAAGATATTTAGCTGAAGCCTTCACCAAAAATAGCATCTCTGTAAAACACAACTCGCGAATACATGCTTTACTAGAATAGCACAATAACTATAGATAAAAATTCGCAAAATATCTTCGCGAAAAAATTGTTACTTGTACCTTTACATAGAGTGTTTAAAATACCTTCCATTCCAGTAATAATATAACAATGCCATTGATGTTTTATAAAACACGACTGAAACACTGCTTGGAAACTTGTAAAAATTTGTACCGTTTGTTTCATCACGTTTGGCAAATGAAAAATAAAATGACAAGAATTCTTCACAACCTTAATTTTAAAAAATTGCGCCAGACTGTGCAGCGCTACGGACGGCTCTAGAGCGAGCATGCATAATCATTTTCCCATTCTATAAATGACAAATTGGAACGCTCGAGCAATTAAGGATTTGTTCCACGTTTGATGTTCGAAATTATCCAAATTACGCGATTCTAAGGTAACTGTCAGATATCACGCCTTTTCCTTCTGGAGCGATTTTTAATTGCACCAAGCTGTATTTACTACGACTACCAATATAAATACAAATTTTGATTTGAAATGTGTCTATTAATTTTAGACAGTGGCAATGTCATTAATTAGGGGCTTTTAGATGACTGAAAAAGGGTCATTATAAACCGTGCCAACGTTTACGTTATCTAGCCCTGAGCAGAAGAGAAGTATATACACCTTATTTGATGGTTTAAACAATATACTCGCGGATATTTTGTGCGTTGCATAATATCATTGACATAACGGTTTTAGTTTTCATGAAGGACTTTGTTGCTTTACTAACTTTAGTAAGGTTGAATTAAACTTTGTTTTTGAGAGGAAAAACATTTTCTGAGAGAACCTACAGTTTGCAAAACTATCTTATATTCTATATCTATGTGCTAATTCGTCTACATATTTTTTTTCTTTGTCTTTCTTAGGCCAGCCATTACTCCCATAACGAAATGGATTCGAATCCAAAGCTCGCTGACACATTTCACAGTCTACGTGTCCCAGAAAGTTCTGACGTGGACATCACTGAGTATACGCAGCGCAATCCAATGGATGTCGAATTCAGAAGTGCAAAGAGCACACAAGGCGCTTACAAATTCGAAGACATCAAGACTTATCTTAACAACTTGTACCAAACTGAGAAAATGGAGGCAAAGCATAAATAATTTCTCGAGAAATTTTGAATTAAGTTAGATTATTCTAAGCTTTAAGCAAGTCAAAACACGTGAAAGACATAACAAAACATGTAGTTTGCTAGTAAAGTTTAAGGAAGACTAAGATAACAATTAGTAGATTTGAATTATCAATTATCTTATTACTGGATAGTTTTCAAGTTTTATATGCTGAACGAAGTACAGAAAGTGCTTATTGACTGCAACTATAAAAACCCATTTAACATTTGTACGTTGGAAAAATAAACTACAAAGTTTATTAGTCTTAAGGTATTAATTGATAATAAAAGGGGCAATTCTTGTAAGAATAAGCATCTACATGAAACAGCTAATAGGTATAGATTCCTTTAAACTTTCATTCTTTTTCCTTTTGTAAGGTTTGCTAGATATCGGTTATTTCACATATTTTCCTTTCATGTTTTGTGCTGGAAATGGGTGCGCGGCTGGCAAAATTTACTCATTTGCGCCTAAGTTTGACCTTGTTTGAAAACTAACGTCGTACACGTGTTAATGATTAAAAAAATAATGACGCATTCATTTCTGTAGTACAGATTTTGTATGCTATCAATTTTCAAATAATTGTTTCAGTTCATTGTTATCAGAGTTTCAAAACATTTTTTAAAACCGACGGATTAGCTTAATTTAATTGTCATAGTGAGCCCAGTTCCGTGGTCACGAAGGTCAGCAGTTAACACAATCGTGGTTTAAAAAAATCATGAAAAGATGACGAAGCCCTGAAAACTGCGAGAAGACAAGATTAAAACAGGTAAAGATGTTTGTCGTCAGACTTAAAATTGACTGTTTTATATCCAATATGGAGGAAGACTCAAACCTGAATAAATGGAATCTTTAACGGAGAACTTTTTAACCTTTTACACCTCATATCAGATCAGTATCCATATTCTCCATATTATTCTCTATAAATGTCCTTAGGTGCTGACAAGGAGAATTTGTTTAACAATCATAAGCCTTTTCAGTTAGTGATAATTTCCTTTATTCTCGAGACCTTAATGGTTAATTTAGGGGTGACATTTTAAGGAGAAATTAGATGCTCGTTACTCTCAGGGGTGAAAACGTTAAAAAAATCTGAATCTGAATTTACCACAACAATAATGATTCCTTTGCGAGCTTAGTTTCTCAAATTACATTTATTTGAAATAAATATCGATTATGTCACTCTGACTATAGATTCTGTTTTCTTTTATTTTCCTATTCCTGGTCATTCCCATAAGCCCTCAGGATGCCTGTATTGTCCAGTCCTCTCTTCTGCTTCCTCGCTATCAGTCTCTCTCCAGCCATCGTACGGAAGTTTCTCAGAGAATTTAGACGGTTGGCAAGGCGACTGTTTAGTCTACCTGTTTCATCGGCAGTCACCTGCAGAGGAAAAAAGAAGTAAAAATTGTAGTCAGAAATTTTAATTATGCTCCACTTCAAATAAGCATCATTAGCTTCAGAAATTCACAAGACGCAGAGTCTTTAATGTGAAAATCCGAAAGCGAGACCGAAAAATTTTAAAAATAAACCTTTCTACTGCTACCATCATGTCGTTCATATTCCATCAAGATTTTTCGTTGATGACAGGAGTATGTTGCGCTTAGAGTCACTATACCCACATTTTTTTAGCGTTTATTTGCGATGTTCCAGCTTTCATAACCCATGCCAATATTTTCAAACGGCAGCGATATATTAAAGATATCCGTCTCCCACAACGATAATTCGGAGTCTAAATCCTTTGCCGTTTGAACGAGTTCTGGAGTTATTGGAGAGCTCTGAAAGAAATTCGAGACTCCTAGACTAACAGCAAAGGCTGACGAGATTCGAGATAGGATAAAAATATTGTGAGAGCCACGATTTTATAGAGCACCATTCTTAACAATTGGTTCAAAATAGAGTGTTAGTCAATAGATTCATAAGCTATAACTCTGATGTTCACCGGTTTAAGATAAAAGCTATATATTTAACATTTCAAAACATATTGTTCCAGAGAGAGCAACAACCTTCGTATTGGAAAGATGGCGAAGTATTTCTGAAATGTTTGAGCAATTTCCGTATGTTCGGGAGGAAAAGAGTAGCGTTTTAGCCCTCAAACCGTGTTTCCTTGTTCCCTAGCATTTTCTTATATCGAATTTGATTATTTTGTCCTCTAGACTAAAAATTTGTACAAACCTGTCTTTTTCCGCAGTTGTACTGATAGGGACAGCTCCATGATTGCACCAACATAAAATTTTGAAAGGCAAGAACGAACAAAAAGAACAGAGTTAGGACAGCTTGATACTTCATCTTCACGATAGAATTTCGAAAGTGTTGTCAACACAGTTTCCTGATGTGAATACTGAATTCGATCGCAGTCCCGCTTAAATGAGTGCAAAATGTGATGAATTAATAACTAGCTTGTTAAGGCAACAAATTACCTGATATGAAAAGTTGGCCGGCTTTTTATTTACTTCAAGTAATGTTTGCATAATTTTGTATGGCCTTTAAGTGTTAAATAGCGTGCTTATCAATCAATTCTGTCTTTAGAAGACCGCGCCCTCGATTCATTCTCAATTTGTTTATACGTCCTTGCATCGCCGCAATAAAACTCTAATTATGTACTTTATATAACGAAAAAGAAAGGCTGTTTTAATTTGGAAACCCTACAAAAATGTTCCATCAGAGAACGTCGAGCATCGTGGGGTGACCTAACATACAACGCTTTGTACGTGCTCTCTGATTATTTCAAAGGGAGATTATTTTTTTAGAAAAATTAGAGGAGATTGTTGCGTATTTATTTAACGAGTGCTATTACTTTTTAAAGTACATTTAAGTTGCGTCGGCGGGCAAGTGAAACATCCAACAGTTCATTTTGTACTTGAAGTTGATGAATGTAAATGATCCGCCCTAGCAAATTTCGGAAAGCCGGCCTTTTTAGCGCTTTTGAGTGTAACCTTTCGGCCGAAACAAAGTGTTTTGTTCCATTTGTTAGTTTTAACCTAGAATCTTTATAAAAAGGCGACACTGACAGCTTTTTAGAGGTCCTAAAAATGAAAGAACTCAAGAGAGTAGTGCTAAAAAGGAATTGAAGTAAAAAAAAAAGGGAAAGAGAGAGACTGACAGAGAGACAGAGAGAATAATAAAGAAATTCCTAAATCTACTCAAGAAAAAAATTGCAAAATGACCCTCCGGCCCCACTCAAAAAGAAAATGAATGGAAAACGCCGAATTTCACCTGCAGCTTCTCGCCGATAATACAATCCCCTTTACGAAAGAGCCCCGTAACTTGCTTCAGTCGCTGAGTTAAAACGAAATTTAATTTGTGGTAATATTTTTTAATATTGAAACTTCTCGACATGTTGTCACAGAACTACTAGTCAATCATTTATCGAGCTATATTACCCTTGTTTCCCAAATCATTTAAGTTCCCCTGTCTTTTTTTCTTTCTTTCTTTGTTCCCAATGAAGAATTATGTTTAGGGGGTTTTCTCATCAAGTTAATATCTCTCCTGAATTGAAAACCCAACCTACTTGTTGCATAATTGAGTCCGAATTATTTTAATAGTCATTTTAAAGTGAGATAATTTGGGCAACAAATTGAAAAAAAATTGAAAACAATTATCTGTATTTTTCATTATAAAAGATCTAATGAGAACACATCACCTTTATCTGTAACTGACCAATCTTTGTATTTCAAAAGCAACAGGTGAATGCAAAAAAATTATGCTTATTTATTTGAAGGGGCCGTATTTTTTCAGTACTATAAGAATAATTTTTTTATTTTACTTTGTGTAATAGTGAACAACCGCAATAATTTTTTCTCTCCAACAGATGAGCGAATTCAATTTTTTTTAAAGTCCACTATTGAAGCCGGAATAATAGAGCGCCTTAATTTCGTTGTATGTAAGTTTTACGCACATTTCAAGGCATAGGAAACGAAAGTACGTCTGTGGTCTTAAGATCAATTGCAGTGGCAAGTTTAAAAACCTTGCATTGCTACCTCGGAAACTAAATTTATGCAATAAGAGGTCGTTCAGACTTCATCCAATTGACGATGAATCCATGCATAGCGGGAAACTGTATGAAAATTATTTCGATAAGCACGCCACTGTATTTGACAGGTTTTTAACAAGTTGCACGATAAATTATGATTGCGAAATTAATTATAGCCGATATTTCAATTATGAGTAAATAGAGATTCTTGTCCATCACCGCATCTAATTGCAACAAGGTGTATAACGGCTAATCTATCTACTTTGGCGTCAAAAGAAATTTTAATTATTTCTAACTTCAAAACTCAGTCCTCAGTGAAACCTGTTTGCCATTAGAATGTTTCCTCGGTTAAATATTTTTACTAAACCAAAAAGTTCAGCAAGTCTAATAATTCTCATGTTACCAAACAATCCTTTTTTTTATTGCCCACCTCAGAACATTTTTGTTAATGAGAGGTTGATGTGGGAGGTTGTTTGAGTTTGTCGATATGATTTTATAAGCAACGCTCCCACCAACTACTACAAATGGTGTCAATAATTCGAATTTCAAAACCCTTTCTTTAGCAGATGTTCTACAGCTCCAAAGGGGCCTTTTTAAGCTTGATTCTCACAGTGGTAAAATCTTAATTAACCCTTTACACCCTAACATCAGTATACATATTCTCTGTACTGTTCTTTATACATTTCCTAAGGTGCAGACAAGGAGAATTTGTCTAACAATCAAGAGCTTGTCTAGTTGAGGATCATTTGCTTTGTTCTCACGGCCCTAATATTTGATTCAGTGGTGATATTGTTAGTAGAAATTAGGAGCTAGTCATTAGCATGTTATGTTTTTATGTCATATCAACTTGAGAAAACGTTTTTTTTTTCTTTTTCCATTTGCGAAAATTGACAGGATTTCAATTTATTTCTGTAGTTAGTGTTGTGAACATTTCTCTTTTTGACATTATCGCAGTAAGTATTTCAAAAGATCCACAAACACCAGAGAGTATGACCCATTTTATGTAAAATACATGTCAAAGTAAAGCTAACAACAGATCATGAGGTTTGGAACAGTTTTAAATTGAGTATTGAGAGTGATCCTGAATTGCTCTCCGGTTTTCAAGTGCTTTGAGATTGGTCTAGAAAATGCGCGCCAACATCTCAATCAATCGCGCGGCAGAGTTGAACCAATTTCAACTTAATCATTCGCGTTTTCATGGCTTCAATGCAAGCAGGTTGCCCGTTTTTACTTTGAGTGCTCACTGATGATATTAAACTCGGTTCTTCTTGGAAGTTGTAATTACTTTGGTTTTTCTACAGTCAATTAAAAACTGCCCTTATATTGATATAAAAAGCC